ATAGAAACATATTTGCAATTATTATATTTAGGGTGCATGTATGGTTGAAATTTTTCTTGAGGGAAAATGAAAATTTTAGATTTTTTTAGTACTGAGCAAATGGAAGTTGAGCTCACATGATACGTCATAGAGTTGCCAATTTGTGTTTGATTGTTCACAACTTCAAAAATCCTAACTTCCTTATTTTTAATCGGAATTTGCTCAAACTTTCACTGACTTGTTTCTCTCATTTTTCTACTCCTATTAAAACTAACTTAATTTCAGGGTGGAGTTCCCCTTTAAAGGGCCACTCTGACCAAAACGTGCTAAAAATTGAAAAAAAGACATGTAGAATAATTTTTGACAGAGATTCCGAACATGACAATGATATTTCTTAGACATCATCATAATTCTGGAATCTAGCTTTAAAAATAATGACTCAGAACGCTCAGGAAAAAAAGCCAGATTTCGGAGCTGTATCGCCCAACTGTTTATGATGTCACTGCAGGCGCCTCTCCCGGTGAAAAGGAGGGTGATTTAGGCATTATGATGTAAAAAAGGCAAACTATGATATTAATTGGGGGAAAAAGATGTTAATCCGAAAAATAATATGCACTTGATAATCCCAGAATGTTTCTGGCAATTTCATCATTCCTAATGCGTCATCAAGGCCATGTGACAGTATTACCTTTTTTCGAGGGGTGTAGCCCAGCAAGCGTGAGAACTGTGAAAAATGGATGGTTATTATCACTTTTGGTCCATTTAGAGATTTTCTGAAAAATCAGAGGCTGGAATATTAATAAGTAGAGATGTATTCATGTTTATAAAGGCTATGTTAGTTGGGTTAGAGTGGTCCTTTAAGTGCATTCAGATATATATCTGTGTCATATGTCAGTTTATTTTTTCATGACAGTTGTTGTTTTTTGCGGCAGTTTAAGTCGTCATATGTGAACAATAGCTTGTGGTTATAACTGTGCAGCAAAGCAAGGAAGTAGTTGTTCAATATGTTGCCATAACTCATGAATCAGGATTATGTTTTCAAGAAGTCACCTCAAGACCCTCTTCAGGGGAAATGTGAACGGAAATCGTTGATTGTCTGCTAATTTGTAGTTTTGAGAAGGGGTATCTTTATTCAGGTAGACCCAGTATAGATCTGTCATTTGCCATTACTTGAATGCTATTATTAACAATGGTCAGCACCACACCAAATTAGCTTGTCAAAGAAATGCTCATCAAAAAGTTACTGATCAAATTTACTAAGGAATATTAGGTACACATGGGGGCTTACTCACTTTTTTTGGTATACATGCTGCAATTGTTAATTCCATTCTTTTTTATGAAGCTATTTCTGATAAGGAATTGCTCTCTCAAGAATTAGAGTCGGACAGAATTTTAAATATTTATCAAGAACGTAATCTTCTTTAAAATGTACTTGTTTAGTTTTAATATCCTAAATTTAAATTCTTATGGCTCAAAAACTAAATGTGTTTTTTACATAAAATTCTTGTAAATCTTTACATGTCAATAATATTTGTTGAAGGTTTTTTGTTGTTGTTGTAATTACGAAGTCAAATATATATCAGCAGAGTTCATTACTACAATCAGTGCCCTTTTGAAAGCACTCTTACATCGGGTCAGGAAGGGGGAGTTCACGCTGGCATGACAGGACAAGGAACGAAAGATGAGGGGATGAAATATGAAGGAGAGAATTAGGCCCTGACCATTTCCCGTCAGTAATTGCTTTCATCTCGTCTCCTGTCACATGCATGCAGATTAATTAACCCATCAGAGATGCATTGCCAATTTGCCACCAACATGTTATTACAGAATCACTGTACTTTATCTTACTTTGTTTTTGTAACAATGGAAATTTAATTTACTCAAATAAGCAGAAGCTGCCAGATATGTGTACAGTGTCCTTTTTTGCTGTACAAAGTTAAGATCATTGAATTCTTTTGTATTGGGAAATAAGTATTCTTCTTCAAATTAGTAATACCAATTAAAGTCAATGCAGATAGAGCTTTTTCCTTTCGATCGGTGGACAACATTCTTACACTTGATAACTCTTTGTCAATTGTTAATTTGCAGCGACAACGATATTGATATTGATTTTGATGTCAAATTATAAAGATCAATCTTTGTGTTTTGCCATTTTTTTTTGTTTTGTTGAAAGACACAAAATATTGTGTTGTCTTTTGCAATTTACCTTACCAAACCCTTGCAGTAATTCACATTCTGTTGGATAACAATATAAAGTACGGTCATGAGCTGTATAGAATGGTACCGTTTTGCCCTTAAAAGTTATTTTTCAATTATTGATAAAGTAAAGAATGCAATTAAATAAAGATATTGGGTTTAGAGAGAACTTCCAAGGAGTAAATGCGAGAGGAATTTAAAATGGTCCTCAAGGATTTGTCTTCCAGTGACGTACGAAGCACTTCATCAAGAGTGAGATTGATCTTTTATTCCTAATATCATCTCTTGGCACATGCTCATCAATTGTCTCGTCAGAGATTAGTTGCCAATTCACCATATTAAATGGAATTATGATTTCATGTTGTGATTTATAATGTAGGGGGGAAAAAATTGCATAAGTCATCAGCAGCAGCAAAATATCACAGCACAATTTTCTATAGTGCCCTTTTTCCAGTCAATAAAGCAGGTTTGAGGTTTGATGATTTTTTTTTTTAATTACGAAATAATCATAGAATCTTGAAGAACACAATCGAAGATGATTGGTTGAGGGATAAAACTTGTCACGAGGGAATTTAAAGGATGCTTGAAATATCCTTGCAATGACGTACTATGCAGTTCATATCAACAAATGAGATTAATCACCTATTCCTCAATCCTCATCGTCACATGGCTGTAAGAGCCCTTTGATTAGTTCTGACCTTTTCAAAACTAGCAAGTGAAAGTGAACAGTCATCCAAACAATGGCACTTTAGTGACCATTAATTATCATCGTATTTTTCATCTCTCTGCATTTAATGGGTTTCAGTGTTATGCTCTCTCTAATCATGGACCATGCTGTAATGGAAAGTTGTTGTGTACATCTCAATTGCCTTCTAATTGTCTTGGTGTCACAAAGTACCAGTAAATGACACTAGTGTTGTTCCAAACTTCCGGATGCCATGGCCGGGAAGTGGGAATTTTATGTCTCTGTTGTAATTAAAACCGGAAGGGGGAATCTTCATCATTGATTGTATATAATATCCACATCTTATGTACATATGCAAATAGGAGGGGAATATATAGGATGCTCGGAAATTTGGAAATCTTTGCAATAAACCATTTTCTTATTAAATATAACAACGTTTAATGCACAAATCTTTGTTAAAGATGAAGTTGAGTTCTGGTCCTGCGATTGCAATGTGAAAGAAACGGTGTGGAATCGACCAGAAAAGGTTGATCATCTAGCATATAAGAATTTGTGTGTATTACAAGGTTCTGGAATCATCAGAATGATAAGAAATTGGCCAAGTCTTGGTAAAGTTACAAACACTGTACACAGAAAGATGCATATGGGACTACATGAACACGTGGTGTAAAAAACCTACCCCCGAGTTTTACGATGTACATGACATATTTTAGAATATGAAGGCATTTGAAGAGCCATGCTTTTCAGGAAACATGTCTTATCTGATGTTCTTCCACACTTGCATAATAAGAATGATAACGCTCACAAATTATTTTTCATCTCTTCCCAGAACTCAACCTTCTCTTTAAGTGCCATAAATAATTCCATTCACCTATTATGAATAATTGTATTTCAATAGTCAGAATGCAAATTGCATATATTAATTATTGCCAGGTAATGTATGCAATTCATATACTGACTATACAATTATTTGTAACAGTGAATTAAATAATCAGTAACATGGCACCAAAGATTTGTGCATTTAATTGGATTACATTACGAAAATGGCCTATTATGTACCATGCAGTTAATAAACAATGAGGTTAATTTGTATTCCTGATAGTTTTGCTGTTTATGTGATTAATATGATCATTCATGTTAAAGAGAAGGTTGAGTTCTGGGAAGAGGTGAAAAATAATTTGTGAGCATTACTCATTCTTATTATGCAAGTGTGGAAGAACATCAGTTAAGACATGTTCCCTGAAAAGCATGGCTCTTCAAATGCCTTCATATTCTAAATATGCATGTAACATCGTAAAAATCGGGGGCCGGCTTTTTACGCCACGTGTTCGTGTAGTCCCATATACATCTTTCTGTGCAAGTGTTTGTAACTTTACCAAGACTTGGCCAAATTTCTTATAATTTTGATGATTCCAGAACCTTGCAATACACACAAATTCTTATATGCTAGATGATCAACCTTTTCTGGTCGGTTCCACACCGTTTCTTTCACAATGCAATCGCATGACCAGAACTCAACTTCATCTTTAATGCTGCATGTCAACTTTTGATAATGTACTTCTTTACTATAGTTATAACCAGAATATGAAACCATCACTTACAAATATAATGGGCAAATACATGGTTTCGATGTATATTTCCAAAGCATCGATGCGACCCAATTGAATAAATCTATATTTATCATCAAATGTGAATTTTTCAAACGGTTGTGGCAGTTGATCAAATTCAGTGCAATAGTGGATAGTGTTGAGGTTTCAGATTAACATGACACAGAAAAAAATTGAAAATGTCATTGTTTTGAATCACAGGATGAACAATAAAAAGTTTTTAAAAAGATTTACTCTTCACAGAACAAATTTTGTTCATTCTTTTAAAACCTCACTATTTTTATCAATTGTTGTCATGAAATACCATTTCCAGTTTATTAGAACACAATCACAAAGACTTACATCCCATCGAAATCATGTTCAGATTGTGTAATGGATCATTGTAATGTTCGCTCATTGAAACGGGTGATGGACAAGGCTATTGATATTGCCTTAGATTAATGTTTACAATGTCTTTGTGAAAGTAAAACAGTCATTATTTTTACTTTACTATTGCTATTGAATAAAGCATATTTTTCTTTCTCTTTGATCAGGTACTTGGACTGCCAGAAGATACCCAATACCGAGCCTATTGAATGCGAGTACAGGTGGGGTCTGAGAGCCCAGAAAGAGATGGATAAAGAGAAAGTCCTGAACCTCGTAGCTAAGGTGTGCCTTTAATCCTCTTTTAAAGCCTATCTGCACTAGTTTGGCCAGGAGGGATAAGGGATTAGACCTCCCAGCTTGGTCACTGACGAGTGGTTATCTCATCAAATCAGCTCTCAATTAACAGGGGGACCATGGCATGGGGGACAAACGGGTACTGCTTAGGCGTTGTTTGCTATATATAGAGTACCGAAGCTGTGACGTCATAAAAATCTATTTTTAGAATTTCTCAATTTTTTCTTCATTTTCTGAAAGAGCATCAAAAATAATGTCCAAATGTCGAAAACCAATTGAATATGTTAAGTATTGGCTGAGATATGACCATCTGAATAAATATATGTCCTATGGGAACTCAGTGTTATATGCTCTGGCTCCTAGTGGTTAGGAGCCAGAGCATATAACACTGAGTTCCTATGGGGAGTATATTTATTCAGATGGTCATATCTCAGCCAATATTTAACATATTCAATTGGTTTTCGACATTTGGACATTAATTTTGATGTTCTTTCGGAAAGTGAAGAAAAAATTGAGAAATTCTAAAAATAGATTTTTGATGACGTCACACTTCACCACTCTATAGGGCCCGATATAGGGCGCAAGTAGCTACAAAACTACATGTAGTGCCGTCCTGCTTTAAAAGAAGATGAGAGCAAAGACTTTCAAAATCCACTGAAGGCCAAGTTCAGTACCCTATTGTTAATCCCATAGAAATCATATTCGACTTACGTAATACTTCTTTGCCAAGTTCACACGTGTTGATTGTTATTGGGCTAAGCTATCTGGTTGCTTACTTACAAGCATTTATGCTCTCTTAGCAGTCAGGTAAAATAAACACCACAATTCAATATGCCTTAGTCTCTGCGGTCATGTTAAGACTAACCATTCCTTGTTGTCTAGATTTTTATCCTTGTTTCTGTTAACCCATTCAGTTTCCTCATATTTCAAAAACAACTCATATCAGCTATTACACTGTAAATGTTTTGACTAAATGTTGAAGGTTGTGTGTAGTCCCAGATACCCATATGAGTGTGCACTGCTTTTCCCTGCATGTGATTTTCGGCAAGGTCAAGTCAATTGGTAATTACAGTCAAACCTGCTGTAGCGACCACCTGTCCACAAAGAACACATTTTGATGACTCAAATTTTTTCCACAAAACACAGTTATTCGCTCATTCTACATAATAAACGTTTCCCAGTATCTTCTAGACCATTCCTTTCAGAATGAAATTGCATCACCAGACCTCAACTATAGTTTTAAACTCCCATCACCCTTCAATAGCCCTCTGCAGCAGGTGTATTACAAATACATGTTAGATTTGTTTTATTGGAGGAAAAATAAAAGGGTGTTGTCTCTTCCTACAAGAAGTTTGGTTGAGAGCCCATGAAATTGACTAAAGAACAAAGGAAAGGAGTTGGGTACCCCAGGTTGACCTAGGTATGACCTTTTTATATTCCAAATGACTTCATTGTTTTTTTTGGTCTTAAAGGGGAAATCTCTCTTTCATGGAGTTTGAAGACATACAGAGAATGAGAGGAACAGATAGTGAAAGCTTTCAGAAAAATCTGATGGAAAATATTTTCAAAATTTGTAAAATGTAACAAAAAGTTCCCCCCCCCTCCCTGACGCAAACGATCACACTCAAATTGGAAACAACAATTTCCTTTTCAGGCAATTTTACCTTGCTTTGAGTTGAACCCGGCATTGAAATAATAAAAAATCTTCCATTTCGACCATCAAAAGAGTATGTTAATTTTGCGCAGAGTGACGTCTATGAACTGTTTCCACTGAACTTTTAAATTTGGGCAGGTTTTAGAGAGCATTATCTTTTGGAGAAAAAAAATATAAATTTTTGAAAAAGCTTGTCAGAAAAGTATGACCAAATATAGAAAATTGTCATAAAGAGAGTAACTCACAGAAGAAATCACAGTTGCTGATTTTTTTAAATCTTTAAAACTCTTTAAAAAGTTCATTTTCCTGTCAATATTTATCATGTCAATATTTATATTTTTTCTCAATCAATATGACCAGATTTTCTGCTTTTTATATTAACCAACTTGATCATAGGATTCCCCTTTAAATGAAGAGTCTCCATAAGATAACTTGTGGTAAGGGAATCAGAAAGACTGCTCAAACCACAGTTACTTAAAACCAAACCACATGTTCAGGGGATTAAAATTTTGCAAACCTGGATGGCCTCTTATCTCTTTTTCTTCAAGTCTTTTTTATTTTGTCTTCATGATTAGTAAGATTTTTTTTAGAAATGTGCACATAAATAACATGAAACTCTCATCTTTCCTCCTCCTTTCTGTCCTTCCTTCCCCCTTTCTATCCTTTCCTCCCCCTTTCTATCCTTTCCTCCCCCTTTCTATCCTTTCCTTCCCCTTTCTATCCTTTCTTCCCCCTTTCTATCCTTTCCTCCCCCTTTCTATCCTTTCCTCCCCCTTTCTATCCTTTCCTCCCCCTTTCTATCCTTCCTTCCCCTTTCTATCCTTCCTTCCCCCTTTCTATCCTTCCTTCCCCCTTTCTATCCTTTCCTCCCCCTTTCTATCCTTTCCTCCCCCTTTCTATCCTTTCCTCCCCCTTTCTATCCTTTCCTCCCCCTTTCTATCCTTCCTTCCCCCTTTCTATCCTTTCCTCCCCCTTTCTATCCTTTCCTCCCCCTTTCTATCCTTTCCTCCCCCTTTTGTCCTTCCAACCCCCTCTCTCTCATTCCCTCCCCTCTCTGACTTTCCTCCTCCATTCCGTCTTTATTTCTCTCCTTTTTCTTTCTCTGTCTCTATCTATCTCTCTCTCCCTTTCTTCGCATCCCTTTTCCTCAACTCTGTTTCTCTTTTTTCCTTTCTCTGTCTTTCTCTCTCTTTCTCTCCCTGTCTTTTCTTCTCCCCTCTCTTTTCTTCTCCCCTCCCTCTCTCTTCTCCCCTTCCCTCCCTCTCTCTGTCTTCACTCGTTTCATCTTCACCCCCTTTTCTCACCGTCTCTTTCTATCTCTCTCTCTCCTCCCTTCTTCTCACTTTCTCCTTCCATCTTCTTTTCACTTTCTCCCTCTCTCCCAATCTTTCTTCCTCTCTCCCAATCTTTCTTCTTACCACTTCACCCCCCCCCCCTCTCTTCTCTCTCTCTCTCTCTCTTTTCCTCTCTCTTTTCCTCTCTCTTTTCCTCTCTCTCTCTCTTCCTCTCTCTCTCTCTCTCTCTGATTTATTTTTATCTGTTCATCTCTGTTTTTTGTCTCCTCATAATCAGATCATGAAGGAAAACAACCCCAGCATCTGGAAGACACAGTATAGGGAGGTCCTCATCTCCAAGGGTCTGGACCCAGACAAAGCGGTTGAGAACGAAGAGGAGCGCAGCGATGATGATATGGATGATGACTAGGAGAGCAGACGATAGGTCAGCCATCGATGATGAAAAATTGTGCAGCTTTTAAATGCGACGTTCACCCTTAAACACCTTTATCCTTCTGCAATATTCTCACAACTACACAGCAAAATGTAGGGTCTGGTGTTTGTTGAGTTTTGGCTCTTCCATTGTTTTAGCAAAGGAGAGAAAAGGGGCAGAGAATCGAGCTCACATTGTTGAGACTGTGAAACCTGTATAATTATGAAGACCACTCTGGAGGGACAAGAAAAGTGGTCTTTATAAGCAGGGGTCTTTATGTACAGGTTCCTTCAGAACACAATTCAATGAGAAAGACTAGTGAAGGGAACCAGAAAAAGTGGTCTTTATATACAGGTGATTGCTATGAGGTTTGACTTCATAACACTGGCTGATTATCTTTGCAGAAAACCTTTTCTGTATGAATTGCCTGTTGTCAAAATGAATTGTGTGCAATTTTCTCATTTTTAGAGGTTGATTGGTTACCCTTCAAATACCATCAAAATGGGATCCAATTGCCTTTAGAACTGGATATAATCATCCAATCATGCAGCTGATTTTGAAATGCTCTGTAAAGTAATCATAGATGGGGGGAAAGTAGCATGTATGTAGGAACCGTTGTATATTTTCTTCTTTTTTACATGTTTTTGGAAGTACCCCATCTACTGGTGAACCCATGTAGAATGGACTACTCAGTATACAATAGCTATGTCTAACCTTCATGTCATGTTGTCTTTGTAAAGCCAGAAGGGTGTTTAAAGAGAAGGTTGAGTTCTGGGGAGAGGTGAAAAATTATTTGTGAGCATTTTCATTATTATTATGCAAGTGTAGAAGAACATCAGAGAAAAATGTTCCCTGCAAAGCATTGCTCTTCAAATACTTTCTAAATAAGACATGTAACAGCTTGAAAATTGGGCCTCATTTTTATGCCACATGTTTGTGTAGTCACATATACATGTACATTATTCTGTGTACAGTGCTTGTTACTTTTACCAGGATTAGGCCAAATTTCTTATCATTTTGATGATTCCAGAACCTTGCAGTACACATCAATACTTATATGGTACATGATCAACTTTTTCTGATCCATTCCACACCTTTCCTCCACAATGCAATCGCATGACCAGAACTCAACTTTATCTTTAACTCTGTGTAAAATGATACAGGTTAATTCCCTTTTGGCTCGGAACAGCCGATATGCAAGTCTTGTGATAAACTTGAACATACTTCACTCTTACGTGCCTTGTATAAAACAATATTTATAGTCCATATGTTTTGATAGGCTTTTTAATTTAAGGAACTGTTTCACTTCTGTAGTGTAAAATGAAAGTGTTTCAATTATGCATTAGCATCCAACCAGCTGTATGAATTATGATTTTGATATATTAACACACACATTTTTCATAGACTTTTTTATAGCTCTATTTAAAAAATAAAAAAAAATTGGGGGGGGGGGGAGGGCTTTATATTCAACAGATTAAACTGCTTGATTAATCATTTAGGGCTGTCTTGTGCCAAACAATGATTACTTGACTTATTGTCTTTAAAGATAAACTTGAGTTCTGGTAAAAAAAGAAAATGAATTCTCACAGAATCAATTTCACACCTTTTCTTTCACAATGCAATCGCATGACCAGAACTCAACTTTATATTATCTTTGAAGAGGAGTTTGCCTCATTTTGTTTAGTCTGTGGAGTGAGTTTTGTAAACACTAAATATCAAATAACTATCCAAATTTATTTGTGACACAAATATTTTCACTTTTCCATCATTGAATTCCACTATTATCTTTGATGGATATTTCATCATGGCCCCAAAAATGGTGATCAGTATTTTTTAAGAGTTTTTGCCTGTGCACAATTGCTTGAAATAATACAGGAAAGTTAACATTCTCTTTCCAAAATTGTTTCTAAATGCTCTCTTCTTTCTTGTATCCTAATACTAATATGTTTCCTTTTTTTGTTATTGATGATTATGTATACTTAGGTTGGCTCATCCTGCTTTTAGCCAAAGATGAAAATAAATCTGTCATAATGAAGTATTGAAGATATGTTCTATTTTTACCTTGACATCTGAAATGATTTCCTGGTTTTGTTTGTGAGCCATTAACTTCTACTGGAAGTATACACCTTGATAGCTCAAAGAACTTGCATGAATTATCGAATGTTCAGCTGAAACAAAGGGATTCTGATGTTCAGAAAATGATCTTGTAAATACATGTACAGTATCTGCTATTTAGTTTTTTTACCAATTTGTTCACAATGCACGTAGGCCTCTATGCGTAAAATGATAACAGACACTGTGCAAATACTTGCTGTGCTATAAATGTATCTGGACTTTGATGATTACTGGGTCAGCTGGGCCGAATTCCCAGAACAGCTAAGACCATGAATAAAGAGAAGGTTGAATTTTAGTAAGGATGAAAGAAAAATTTCATTCTCACATGGAAGAAACTCACAGAACAAAATGGAAATGAAAAGGATCTCTCCTGAAATTTGCTCTCCTTTTGCACGCAGGGCAAAGAAAAGTTTCAAAATTAGGACCCAATTATAATACCACATGTTTGCGTAGTCCCATATACCCATTTTGGGGTCCAGTGCTTTCCTTTGTATGGGAATGAGCAATTGGTGCCACTCCTATGATTAAAAATTCTCATACTGCACAATTGTTCCCTTTCTTACACAACCAACTAGTCAGAAAATACACCCTCCCCATTTTCTGCTACTATGTGCCTGTTACTTTTGACTGGATTATCTTGCCCACAAATTCTTAGTTACATAATATATCGTGACTTGATATTAGTGATGTCTCTGTCAAAGGTTCTTGTTCAAACATGTTTTTAGTTTTATTACACTGTAGTATGTACTATGTAAATATGTAGAAAGATTTTTATATTAAACATATTTCATACGTTTATACCATGCAAAGTGTTTTGTCTGTGTGTGTTGTGTGAATGTTATTTAAAATTGGCCCCTTTCAAGACTATGACAATGAATGAAATAAATGTTTGTTTCCACTTCAATTACTCAGTTGACCTATCAGTTCTCTCTTTTCTTTGAATAGATGGAAATCCCATCTCAAAATTAAGGGAAATCCAACCTACATGTAAATACATACATGTAGTAAACTAATGAAAGAGAAAGTAGAAAAGCATGCTGGTGAAATTTGAACAAATTCTGACAAATGATAAGGAAGTTATGAATTTTTGAAAATTGTAATCACTAAAGAGGTATGGGGATTTTGAATTGGTAATGAGGGCCTTTTCTTTTTAGAGGACCTGTAATGATATGCTATCCATAATATATGTTGAGTAATGCCTAAAGGGAGAAAGCGCTTAGATGATAAACAAAAAATAATGATATTTTTGTAGACGGTAAACGGAAGAGTAGTCTGTGCGTACGTCATAATCCACTGACCAAATTGCCAATTTGAGATTTGCATATGTATTATTGGTCTATTTCAAACTTTCGCTTATTCTGGTTCTCTTATATTTCTGCTTTCATACAAATTAACGTATTACAAAAAAGGTTTGATTGCCCTTTAAAATCTGCCTCATGTTTAGAATATCAATACTTTTAGCAAGTTTTCTTCATTAAACTCAAATGCACACATGCATTCTGAAGTTTGTCCCTTCACTGATGAATCATTTTCTACGAGGTTTTAGGTTTTAATATGAAACCAATGGTTATAAACTAAAATTTTGCTTTGTGAACTGTTCATTACTTATTGGCATCAAAAGGGTTGGTGTTTCAGTACGAAGGGGTAAAAAATAAAATAGTAATGTATATTGACATGAAAATCAATGCAAATCAACTTTCCTATTATTTCCTATTGTAATTTTCTATTTTCGCCAACATCAGTTATGACAAGTTGAATGTGAGAAAATAAAGTTGGCAAATTCACTATGTGAAAAACTATTTCACCCAGCACACATGAATGTGCATGATAGGTCATCATACGTAGGTCTTGCGCAGTCTCTAGCAATGACTGTTCATAAAAGCAAACATGCACTTTGGTCACGGTGTACCGTGCAATTATGGGTAAGCCTATTGAAATGCACGTAGGCCCTACCTAAGTTATAACAGCTGGTATTGAAATACATTGCACCAGGATTGCTCTCAATTACAATGTCCATATGGTTATATATGTACATGCATATCCCTTATGTAGGAAAACTATCAAGTGTCATGAAGACAGCATTCAAACATTTCATCTCTATTTCATCAAGGGAACTACATGTATTTATTTCATCAGATGATTATAAGAATACATGCATGTCCCACAACATGTGTGTAGCTGATAAGGCATTATGGCGAGAAGCTGTGTCATTAAGGGTCGATGTAAATTCTAGTCCTGATTTTTAAACTGATTTATATATCCACACTCTGAGGGTTAGGTTGTCCATTACATGTGTACCAATAACTGAAAGGCAATAGGAAAAATCTGGAACATTATTGATTTGCATGCTCATACAAACGTATTGAACAGTATTTCAACTACAAACGTGCAGGTCATGTGGATGTATTATTTGATCTGAAGCAAGAATTTTCATTTATCTTATTGCAGTAGTATACCTGTAGGTTGTTCTCGGCAAACATTGACAGCAAAAATAGTTGTGGTCTATATATAATGCCATTCTGTAAAAGGAATAGGCCTACATAAGAGTAGTAGAATTAGTGTATCATTGGCTGAAAGCTAGATATGTGTTGAAACCTTGGTTGCTTTCTTTACCTCTATGCATGGTTGCTCATTTTGCGCAAAACAATAGTCATCATTCAATGGAGGGATTGCTTTGTGCAACACAATTGCTTTGCGAAATTAGCCATTTCCGTTCTTGATTAGCTCTGTGACAATCCTTTTACCATCAATATAGATTAATCTTGCCCAGTTAATAATTTTGAAGCATTTGGTACATCAATCCCGTGATACATGTACATCACTATATGGCACATGAAGATGGTTGGTGTGGCGTACATAATGATTGTTTCCTTCGTAATATTATATCAGTGTGTACCCTTTTGGCACTCAGATGATGCAGGAAGGGAGATATAGCAGTCCCTGTACATAGTTTTTCAGTGTATTATTAGTGTAAACAAGCCAATGTATGCAAGGAACAATGACCTACATGTACCAGCAGAAACAGCCGAGGATATCCTGTTTTGTAACCACTCACCAACCAAACAAACGAGCACATTAACCCGACTAAACAGGAACCTCAATCCACCAAACCGACGACAAACATATTGCAAAATGGCTCACTTCGAATCAACGGGTGGTTGCGTCTGGCCGGGTGGTCGCGTTATCCCACTTTTCGTGGAACGAAAGCGGAAGATGACGAGACCTTACGTAGATTTGCTGTTGGATTTTTACAAAGTCTCTGGTAAATTGGACCAGAACATTTGTAGATAAGGGGGGTTTAAACTTTATTTCACAAACAGTTTGTAAATAAGTGGGGCACGTTTTCTCAAAAGGCGAGGTGACGTGACCATCTGACCTGAATACCTGATGATTCGAAGTAAGCTTTGTAAAATGTATACCTTTAATGTTATGTCTTTTGTCGACCCGTTGCCAGTTCCATCTCAGAGATAGAGCCATTGGTACAGAGTTTGGCCAACTTGGTTTCACTTGGTCACAATATGGCATACATGTACATGTACCCTACATGTATAATATTTTGCTTAGTGCTTGCCCAACAGAAAACAGCAGTATTTGCCATATTGTGCCCAGCTCAAACCAGGAGGCCAATATCTCCTTATCAATGGCTCTACTCAACTACACAATCCTTTCACACATAACCAAGCGACACACCCACTTAATATAAGTGTAGTAATTATTCTTGTCATAATTATACACACTATATTTATTACCACAGGATATTGATAAGAGTGTTGCTAGACCATATCATTTTTTAAGGGGAGTGGAGGGAGAGTTGGGGCTGATGAAGTGGATAAGCAAACAAAACTGCCAAGAATCTTCTAACAAGCAAAGAACAAGGTCCTCCAAATGTCCACAAATCCAAAATCTGAACAAAGATACCCCCCCCCCCCAACTTTCAAAACCCCTCAATATGAATACTCATTCACACTAACATGAAATCAAGCTTACAATGTACCAGATATAAAGCTTTAAAAATCAACAATGACTCTAGGATATTATGATGCATGAACAAAATAGTCTTTAATTTGAAGCTTTCCATTCAAAAAACAAAGTCATCTTTTAACAAATCTGTACAAGGTCAATTTTAATATACAAATCCAACTATTTTTATTACAGAACTGTAAAAAATATAGGTCACGCGTTACTCTCACTTTAATAGTTACACGCCATTGCACAATACAAGTGACCTGTCAAGATCCTTCAACGAAAGGGTGGAAAAAATTCTCAAAGATCTACAAAATATACAGTACATGTCAGAATAAACATTACATATTACTGCTTCATGTCATAGTCAAGGGAAAAATCAGGTCAAAACGCCTCGGTCTCGCTCAGTAAACAGCACCATAGCAACTTGAATACAACGTAAGGTACTTGTGTGATTTTTTTTTCTTATGTCTTTACTGTTTTGATAAAAAAATGATTGTGCATGTCAACATAAAAGGAACATATATTGGTACATGTATTTCAAAGGGGCATAAATGCAGTCATACATAGTGAGCACAATGATAGAAGGGTGTACAATTGTATTTGAAAAAAGCTTTGAGGCGGTGAAATGGTGAACAGAGCAAAGTCGAAATCTGCATGAGTGTATGGTGCAATAGTACCATACATTTCTGTGATAAGAAGCTATGAGATACGGCACAGATACGGGGTGAGCACACACAGCCATTGTTATAGGGGAAGAGGGACGTTCTAGAAGAGTACAAAGGGTAGGCAAAAATACAATAGTTACCTAGAGTGTGTATTCAATATGGTGTACATGTAATTGATGAAGTGGAACTGCAATAAGGAACAGGATTATCATTGATGAGTTATCGGACTGAAATGTTTTTGTAACTTGGTAACCATTCAATTAAACCTTTGAGTGTATTGTAATTGTAAAGAATGCAAATCAATGAATGTTGTATCTAATATTCTTTGGCAACACACCACAGGTAGGATTCATTTTTGTAAGTGAAAACGCCTCTGTGGATTCTAATTTTCAAGAGAAAAAAACAATTACACCAGAATATGGTTTAAAATAGGAACATCCTCATTTTGTGGGAAGGTGTAGACCGATTGTATTGAAACACCCCTTGAGTATGGTGTAGTTTGTTAAAACCAATTTACCTCATCACAGCAAACAAATTTGGTATAAAGTCAAAACTCCAGCAGTGAAATATTGAAGAAAACAACAAACATTATGGCTTGAGTACTAATTTAGGTTATCATTTCCTTTTTGAAGTAAAAATATACATGTACATACATTGTACTTAATTCTTTCTTTCAGTACACTACTATGTAGCCATTGGATTAATAAAAATAATTGAATACATGTTCTAATTTACAAGATATTGATGCTCAAGAAGTACTGATAAATTGTTAATTAAACCAATTTCAGAACAAATAATGATTTTTTGAAGAAATTAAAAACAATTGCCCAGCTGCTTTTCAGGCTTCATTACATGTCCAAGCCCTTCAAAATTAATGCCATAATTATTCCCATTTTGGCAAAATAAACAAATTGTAGGGTATTTGACATAAAAATTACAATGAAATGGATAATACATTAATATGATCAGCTCAATTGTTGATCTGTACAATTGTCGATAAGAAGACATTGATGAAATAACACTTACAGTGCATTGCACATTATATCTTTAAAAATGTATACATGTAGAAGGACATTGAATTCCAAATCGGATCATCTTAAAAACAGTGTACAATATTCCACAAATTGGACAAAATAAGCAATTTAGAAATCTTTCCAAAGCCATAAACTTGCTATTACTGTGCTAGTAATACTGATCTTGTCCATAAAAACACTTTAATAGTAGGCACATTGTGATGGGGAAAGTTCTGAGTTCTTGCACATGTTCAAATTGCCATTTGGTACTAAGTACATGTATGTATTTACTTTCATTCAGCAACATTTTGATAAACAACCATCAATTGTAAACAACCAATTACATTCTTCATTAATTTTACAAAACAATTCCTACAATCAAATGCGAGACCAGCTGGCAAATGAGAAGTTGTTTTTTTAAAACTTTTTTTTTCTGTATTCCAAATGGAATCGGTCATTTTGAGATACATATAAACAGTTATACACCAATTATGTTGCTGAAATTAAGTTCCAAATATGAATTCTTGGATGTAAAATTTGCAAGTACTTTATCAGTAAAGGCCTTTAGGATAGTTGCACAGGCATTGACAAGCCAGTGGATCTCTCTTTCTAGCTAAAACAATTTACCATTGCATGAAACGTGATTTAACATCTGTGTGACAATTTTCAAAAAGGCACATTTAGATCAAGCACCATTTCAGCACTTTCCTTTCAATTCCCCCCTTTTTCTCAAAAAAACAGAAAACGTGTGTACACAGAAGTGGACGGAGTACATACTACTAAGAAGATGACACACATAAACAAGAATATTCATTAATGAGTTGACAAAGAAATACGTTACTAATGCACAGTAGTCTTTTAGTTTCATCACACAAGTTTGATCTTGTTTGGAATATAACATAAATCAAGGAATGTGGCTCAAAACACAATCTTTAAAAAAATTGTAGAGACAGTGAAGAAAAAAGAAAAAAAAGCCAATGACTTTGTAGTTAGAGACATGTCTGTTGCTGTAGGTGAAATGAGTTCTTGCAATCTCGAAGCTCCTTCATCGTATTCAAGGTGGTTGCTACTTGCTATCGCCGAAAGTCTGTTCGGAAGTCGTTGAGGTCGAGATGTCAATGGAAGGCAGGTATCGGGCTATTGAAATTGAAGTCGTAATCAGCTGCACTTGTGCTGAAATGTTCCTGAGAGTACTGTGGAGGCGACGATGATAAGTCACTCATGTTGGACGACGAGGACGATGACGAATCTTCGTCGCTGCCATCGTAGAGTACGCAGATGGAACCTTCCTCACCTATCCTGTAGGAGACCTCCGAGGGATCGATCCAAACGGTAAGTTCGTGGGGGAGGAGGTTGTAGAGTGCTTCGTGGGACATGCCTACTGCTTCACCAGCTTTACCTACGACAGGGTCCATACCGAGTTGGGTTATCCTCACACACCTGTAAGCACTGCCTTTGAAGGGCTTCTCTGGAAACCAATGGGTATCGAACTTCTCGCAAAGACAGTTCACAAGAACACGGCTGAAATTGTCCACTAGAGCAGGGTCAACATTTCTGTTGGTGGTCTGTAGTAATCTCGCCACAAAATTTACTGCACTATATATTTCGCTTTTCATTGTAGGTGGAAGCCCCAAACCGAGATACATAACTTCTTGAAATATAAACCAGTCTACACTAACTCGCCACTACAAATGGCTGGACTGTTCTCGATGATCTTCGAATGGAAGTATGAATCAGAAAATGGCAAAATGTTATTGCGACATAACCAACTCCAAAATTCCCTAATCAATACTACCGTTTTTCCCTGAGCGGGATAACAAGCGTCGCGTCATATACTTGTTGCAAAATATATGTCTCTTTCGGAATATATTCCGTTTTTTCCTGAGGTATATTGTCGTTCAAACTCAAAGAGTAGATTGTTCAGATGATTTTGGAAGTCTTCCAGTCGAAACATCTGCATGGAACATGGAATAAAGCTGGAAATGTTGGTGATTTAGGCGATCGTGATGCCTTGTGTTGCTTGTGTCGCAGGAAAATGGCCAATGCATGGAAAGCGAAGCGAGCTTTATTATGATGACCACACTAGCGCGAAGTCCCCCAGCGAGTTATTTTTTACCTCTCGATCTCGTCTATGCAGGATTGTATGCAAAATAATAGGGGTACTTAAGTGACGTCAGTCGCGTCGGATCCTAGTAGCCAATCAGAAGACTGTTGTGCAGGGTTCGTGATCAGTCTCAGACCCCATAAATAGGCATATTGACTTGAGCCTTTAGAAAGCGACGACGTCATGCAAGGTCGATACCAAAGGCTACTCATTCATGGCAAGCGCGAGCGTCAGCTGATAGGCCGCATAGAGCAGACATGATCGCCAATATGCATTTCCCACCGATCTATAGCTTTGTCTGCATCCTGATTCTACGACAGGACAATAGTGCAATAGTGTATGCTCGAATGGGTCTAATGATATTTCAAGGAAGAAAAAAAAGTTTTGTTTCCTTTCTGCCCTACAACCTCTTGATCTCGCTTGCATTTGGGTTTGTTTACGTTTGTACTCTGTTTGTGGACGAGCCCATATGGCCAGCCCATTAATTTTTTGCTTGAAGATAGAAAGAGTGGGTAATTGGACGCGGTTTCATGATATTGCTGATCATAACAAAGCTTTTATATTAATAACATTCCACCAGACGAAATAAACGAGTGCGTTTGTGTTCGGGATGGGGGTACGCCTACATAATTATGTGCAACTTCTAAATTACATGCACTTATGGTAGTACATGTAGTTGTACACGAAATCAATGCAAAGAAATATTGTACTGCCATTTCAATATATGCCATAGTAACTAGGTCTCCTTGAATGAAATATTAAAAGGAATAGAATATCGGGAAGTCCCTATATTCGTTCAAAGTGACGGGGATCTTAAAGCATTTCAACTATCAATAATTCAAAATGACGAAAAATTATATGAAATCATTTGGCATAAAAAAAAAATTAAAAAAAAAAATAATATAAATCATTAAAAAGAAGTATCCCAGACTATCCTATAGTCCTGGCTAGAACGTCCCATAACGTTTCTTTCACTGGGATATTATTGTATCCGATCTGAAGTTTAATTGGGTTAAACTAAAAGCGATTATTTTTCCAAAATTATTTATAACAATCGCCGTTGGAACAAAGATTCAAGACCCCTGCATAGGGCTTAAAGGGAAATGAGAGAACAGAACATCTCTCCGTGTCGTAAATAATGGAACAATACAAACATCTAAATGCATGGATATGTCCATGGTAAATGTACACTATGCTTTAAACAGGATATGCCATATATTATCTACATGTATCTATTATCTACATGCCGACTGTTCACCTATAACACTACAGGACGCGATTCGCAGCCCTGGCCCATCAGCGATCACAACATGTGGGATCAAATCCTTGTATAAAACTTTACTACGCACAGACACCTGCCATAAAAGTTAACTCGATGCCATGAACACAAAGACAAGGTTCACAACCATTGATTGATTTTACACCCCATGATGGTCTTCAAGGCCTCGAAGCAGCACTTTCCATGGAAGGACGAAGAAGAAAAGTCCAAAGTTTACCCTGCTGATCAAGATAGCGTCACATCTTACATGAAAATAATAATTATTATGTCACACGATGACTTTTGATTAGGGAAGAAAGTAGCTTTTAAAGTTATAAACATAAGTAATAATTGTGTAAATAACTCACGCAAAATGTAGGCCTGTATCAACCAATGGTACTTTCAGTGGTATTTCTGAACAAACATTTTATTCATAAATTCTCAACACATTTTGAGGTTTGATGGCCTAATTACACGAAAACATTTTTTGAAGAAAACAAAGAGAAGAAATTGAAAAATTACATGGGCCTACCATAACATAATACCGTACGTCATTACTAAAACATTATGGCTTACTGACATTATGATTGTTGTCATGTATCTGTTGTGTACCTAGAACATTGTGTTCAAATAAAAAATGTTCTTCATTTTTGTGAAGCTGTTGTGACTCTGCCGAAATCGCATACTCACACATCCAGTGAGTTGCCATGCCAACGCTGGTGACCTGTATGAACCTATGGGCCAAATATTATTACACTGCATGAATTGCACGCCATGAGTGAACTAGAGTATTGCTGTAATGTAGACCCTTTCTACATGTACCAGGGTCCATTCCAACTCCCTGCTGCTACTACTTTACGACTATATAGCACTAAACTAATACTTGTCATAAATGCTATTTAGGCCTATAGTATATCACTAATCTTGATATTAGTTGGCGTATACTCGGTAACAATGCTTTTATTTGAATGGGGGGAGTTTGACGGCAAGACAACTATTTGCACAAGGCGACTATCTATATATTTCCAGCCAACACAAAAATCATTTAGTTTACAAATAACAAATTAATGGTAGAATTCAACCCGGAGGTATAGTTCATCAACTCTTTCATTAACATGTTGATTATTAACGAGCTTGGCTGCATCGTAACAAGTACTTCCCGTTTCTTCTCCCCGTATTATTAGCGAGAAATCCTTCATAACAGCCTTCCTTCCCAGAATAACGTTACGAGTCGTCAGAAGCTCGAGGGTGTGTAGTGTGCAAATAAAGAGTTTCCAGCCGATGAAGGAATGACAGACCATGGACCTAATATAATAATGATAGGTCCATGGACAGACCTATAAGTTCTAGAGCTTTTATTTTGTTATATCATAGACATACGAGCGACATGATAGTTTCGAGAGGTTAAGGCCTTTACATCATGCAAACAAATAAATCATAATGACATTGTTATGCAATTTTAATCGTCCTCGATCTTTATTACCTTATGATCACAATTATTGGTAATGACCACAAGTCTAACGTTGGAATCACAAGGTAAACCATAATTGTATATATACAGGCATATTATAATGATGCATCTCTATATAATTACTCGTGGGAATAAGTATTGAGCGCAGAAAGTCGTTGCCTTGACAACAAGCATAGATGGCAGTGGAGATTAGGCAAGTAGATTTTCGGGGATAAAAACCTGGGGAAATTAGCATTACAATCAGAGTTCATGAGAAAAGAGTTGTCACGTTTCGGAGCATAGGTCTCCGCTTTGTTGTGGAATACCTGATGCTGGCGAACCAATCACAGTCTTGTTGACAAGGAGGAACCAAACCAGGGACTGACTCGACCGCACGAGCACACAAACCGCAATAATTATCCCATTATCCACCAATGCCCCCCCCCCCCAATCAGAGCCCCTTCACGATACCAAACTCTCATGTCCCAAACACAAAGGTGTACACAGATAGACTGGTTTCCAGACAAAATACTATTTTCGGTATCGTGTTCGAAAATGGCTCTCTAATTATTACCTAATGGAGTGATTATTGATAATTCACTTACATTCTCTTTTCCAAAATTGAGAATATTATCCTGCCGAGTTTTTGTATATATATTATGATTTGAAAACATCCTTTTCATAATAATTATGAAGGGTATCATTGTCTGTAAAAGAGGCTTCCATGCATAATACAAAACAAAAATCTTTCTCGATATCTGGAGTCTGGCCTGGACTGGGGTCAGTCAGTCAGCAGGGAGTTCGAATGGTCAGAGAGCAACAAAGAGCAGAGTAGAGGGCGGGCAGGCACCTGGATCCAATATGAAATGATTGTGATATGACCAACAATCAAAATGGTCGAGTGTGATATAATACAATACTGCAATCACATGCCTATATACAGAGAGAGAGAGAGAGAGAGAGAGAGAGAGAGAAATAGGAAACACAGAGTTAAAGATAAACTTGAGTTCTGGTAAAAAAAGAAAATGAATTCTCACAGAATCTTAGAAACATTACACTGAATGTTCAAGATTACAAATAAATGTCATGTGCCAAACAATTTTGGAAGAAAATGTATACTGGCCGAGTAATGAGCATAGAAATGTAAGGAAATCAGGGTAGTACCAGCCCCGACACCATGTGTGTTGTCCCATATACATCTATCTGTGTAAGTGATTGTTACTTTACCAAGACTCTGCCAAATTTATGATGATTTTGATGACTCTAGAACCTTGTATTACACACCATTACGTACATGCTATATGATCAACTTTTCTGATCCATTCCACACCTTTTCTTTCACAATGCAATCGCATTACCAGTACTCAAGTTTATCTTTAAAGGGAAAGTCCACCCCAAAAATAAGTTTGTTTCGATAGAGGCAGAATAATAAGAAAATCAGGTGAGTGAAAGTTTGAGCAAATTCTGAATGAAAATAAGAAAGTTATGAATTATTGAAGTTGTGATCAATCAAATACAAATTGGCAACTCTGTGACTTATTATACGAGCTCTCCTTCATTTGCTTTGTGCATAATATTCCATAAAATCATGTTTTCTTCGTTATTGATGACGGAATATATATTTGTTCCTTGCAGGGGGAGTATAGAAACATATTTGCAATTATTATATTTAGGGTGCATGTATGGTTGAAATTTTTCTTGAGGGAAAATGAAAATTTTAGATTTTTTTAGTACTGAGCAAATGGAAGTTGAGCTCGCATGATACGTCATAGAGTTGCCAATTTGTATTTGATTGATCACAACTTCAATAATTCATAACTTTCTTATTTTCATTCAGAATTTGCTCAAACTTTCACTCACCTGATTTTCTTATTATTCTGCCTCTATCGAAACAAACTTATTTTTGGGGTGGACTTTCCCTTTAATTTGGAACCCTGTCATGATTGAATCAATCGAACCTAACTAGCAAAGCAATTTAACTATCTTTGTATGTGAATAGTAATGATTAGTAACCATGATACAAACAACAATATTGGCCTAATATAATATCATTCATGATAACAATAACAATATTGGTATAAGAATAAGAATAATAACAATAAAAAATGATGATGATGATGATATTATAGTAATAATGTTTTAAAGGCAATGTAGTCACGTGTTTTCACGTTAAAAATAATTGAAACGGGGGTTTTACTAATCATTTTTCACCAATTCAATCGAGGACCCTGTTGAAAGCAAAGTATTATAGGGTACTCTAATTAATAAGAAACCATGCAGGGGGGCATAGGTAATTGCCGAGGC